GTTAATGATTTTTGTATTTTACTTTTTTTTTTTTTTACACATTAAGAAATCTACTCTTAATGGAGACACAGATTTATTAATCTGCGCCACACGACTTAAGCATTTGATACTGTTAACCAAAAAAAAAAAAAAAAATGATAACGGGTAATGGTAAATTATTATTCGTCTAAAAGGAATTTGTTCAAGTATCTATTGATGGCATTGGTTCTTTATTCAATTTACTAAAATTTATTCAATATCGTTCTTAATTAAGCATATTTTCAATGACTTGAATAATTAGTTGTAATTAGTTATTCATTTATACGATTATTTAATCAAGGAGAAGAAAAAAAGGAAAAAAAAGAAAAAGAAGGCATCAAAGAGGGTTGAAATGTACTATGTAAATATTTGGAATTAAAAGAACTGACGAAAAGAAAAGATTACGTATTAATATTAAGTAAAAAAAAATACAATCTCTAATAAAATCTATGCACGAAGTTAATTCAACACAGCTGAAATTGACATAATATTAAAATTTGGCTTGTTATTGACCTTAATTGTCTCCCTAATTGTAGCAAATATCAAGATATAAAAAAAAAAAACACAATTTAAAATCATTGACTAAGATAACTAGTACATTATTGTTACCTTGCATTTTGAATCGCTAAATCTGCAAGTTGCTCTAAAGCTGCTGTACAATTATTATGATGATTATGATGATACATTGGAACAGGAGACGGTATCGGTGTATAGGTCGGTGTTGGAATGGAAATGTATTTGTTTGAAGGTGAACTATAATTATAAGTAGGACAGTTCAAGTCAAGACATGGAATGTCTACGGCTTCAGGACTAGGAATTGGAGTTTTTAGTGAATGCCATGAATTTATTTGATGACGCGTTGGATAGCGATGACTTTCAGGAATCCACCGTTCAATGGGTGAATTTTCTAACGATTTTGATTTGAATGATTTTTTTCGAGAATGAGAATGGCGTGATGATTCTACATATTAAAAAAAAATAATATTAATAAAATAAAAAATAAAAAAATAATAATAATAGATTTAACATTATGTATCGCTATTTGTATCAATAAATAAATCCGAGTAAAATTATTTACCACAGTTACTTAAAGAAGCCGATGTAGTAACACCTTTAGTAATTCGACGTTTTTTTGGTCTAGGAGAACAATCAGACGAAGCACAAGTGCTACTTGTGGAATCATCTGAATCATCAATCGCGGCATGATCCCGTTTTTTAGACAAGGAAGAATAATACCGATTTTTTATAACAATTCACTTTCATCCTCCTTAAACTTTCGAATACCAAATTTTCTTTATACCGTTATCCATTCACAAGAATCTAAAAAATAAATAATGAATACACGAAGAACTCGAAAAGAGCCACGAGATAATACATCCCGCAGGACGGGCCCTTGGGAACCTCAGGTTTGATATCACGCCAACACACCTTACAAAATCATTATATGTACTTACTTGTTTTAAATATGGATCAATGTTAGGAAGATGAAAAATTACTGGAAATAGTAAGGGAATTAGGAGTTAAGCATTGGAAGCTCATTGGAATTAGACATGGTCTACGTGACGGAAAGCAATGTCGCGAACGGTAAAATATTTAAGAAATTTTTTTTTTTTAATCTTCGTTTTCTGTAACTAATTTCCTTTCTCCAAGTAGATGGCATAATCATCTAAACCCTGATTGTAAGTGAATTTACTTATCCTACGTTATTTTTTTTCTTATTCACTTCCATCTATTCCGTTAATTTTTATTTTGGATATGAATCATTGACAGTAACATATGGCCCCTTGACTCCCGATGAAGACAAAAAAATATTATTATTTTATTCTGAAATGGGCACAAAATGGGCGGTGATGAGTCAATTATTAGGAAGACCAGCTAATTTAATAAAAAAAAGGTTGAAAAGAGAGGTGAGAGGAAAGGAAGGAATGTAAAAAAAAAAACAACAAGGAGTTCGAGTGTGAGTGATAAATGGATGGAAGGTTTTGAAAAACGTGGATTTAAAGATACTGGCAAGGACAGCTTATTTAGTATAGAAAAAAAGAACGCGGGGACTGCCAAACTGCCGGCACAAAATTTAGGCTAATCTTTTTTGTTTCTCAAGAAATTTAGAAAAAAAATTTTTTTTTTGTTTGTTCCTCGATATTTTATAAAGTTAACAAACATGGGAAAATACGGAGTCAACTGTACGTGCGTTTTAATCGAGAGTCGATTCAAAAGAACATTGATCAAAGAATGATAATTGTTAAAAAAAAACGCTTTTTATTTATACGTCCTCAAAAAAAAAAAATCCCTGCATCCTCTATCTAAAATTGCAAGTTTTTTTTGTTCTGGTGCTTTTGTAGTGATGGTCGTATATGGAAAGGTTTCGTTGATGCATTTCTATAAATAAGATTTCAAGTCTCCGGATTTTAAGCTTTTTTTTAAAAAAATATAAAAAAATATAAAAAAAAAAAAATGAAAATGAAAAAAAGAGACATCCAATAGGCAAGCATCGTCGTTTGATGGGTCCACGAAATTTTTTTACCTAAGATCCTAAAACGATTATTCATTGTTGATATAACCCATATGTTTGTGGACAACAATGCAATTCATATACCTCCGCGCTGGATGATCGATGCAGTTTTTGGTGCTGGAACATAAAGGAAAGTATTTAACGAAATATCTTGAATGAACCATGTCAAATGAAACACAGATTTCATTATTTCTCTAACCACATAAAGTAGTTTATTTATCATTCACGTGGCACTTGTCCATTGTTCGCTCTGTATTAAGTATATAGTAGTTCGTTTTTTTTTTGTTTTCAACCGTTGTCTAAAAGAATTCGATGTCATTAAAATTAATATTAAAAAAAACGTGTGGTTCGCAATTTGGAGGATACAAACATTTGTTGCATAGAACGTTACCTTATAAGGTTTCCAGTCTTAAATATATTTTAAAGACGGTTTATATTCATGACCTTTGTTACTAATCCTGTTTTACTTAATCCCTTGAGTTTACTAAATACAATATCGTCCGCGGAACGTTTTATGTATGTAGCTTAAATTTGAACGTAGAGACTAAAGTCATGCGCAGCAATCACAAACCAAATCCATTTTATTAAATTCCAATATTCTCTCAAAGCTTCGAAATTCTCAAAAAAAATATTCACTTACAAATTATTCTCATAATAAAAGATCAAACCAATCTTAATTCACAATGATTAAAGCTCTGTCCAACAAATAATAACTGAGTCTTCTAATTCAAATCTTATTCAGATCGTGAGCATATTATTATGATATATATATGTTAGGTGGTTAGTTATTTGGTGATTCATGCACGTATTAGTATACGTACAAAAAGTCATTGATCTTTTTTGTTGCAATATTGATGTAATATTGTGAGAGCCGCAACGTGCTTAATATGGTAATTGATGTAAAACACAGTGCGGAAAAAGTCAAATAACATTTTTTGAATTTTATATAGCTTACAAGGTATACTTCTATGCTGTTGGTTCTTAGTAAAAGTTACAGGATTTTCTTGTCATCCCGATTATCGGTTCCCGACTTTTTCTAACGTTTTTATTCGCCAGCCCTGGACAGAACAAATGAATTATCAAAACAATTGTTCTTTTGTCTTTGTGTAGATTGATCGGTCTGACCTCTATTGTAATGATGAAAGATCGTTTTTTTTTTTAAAGTTATTGTTTGACGTTATGGAAAACGCTAAAAATAAGTGATTTGATATATTGGTTACACTGTGCTTACATAGGTTTCTGAATATTTGGTTAATATGTTACAATTATCAATCACCATTACTGCACTAATTAAAATTCTTTATATCAATTGAGTTATTAACAAAAATAACTACAGTACCTTCTCAAATTTATTAAATCTCAAGCTACATATTTTTATATATAGTAATAAAAAAAATAAGTTCTGATTTGAATTGTTTAAATACGTTATTCAAGTTATTCTATCTAGATTATCTTTTTTATTATTTTGATATAATAAATTGTGTATATTTATTTTTTGGTATTTCTGATTTTTTTAAATAAATATAAACAGTATATATTTTTTTTATAAGCCTTAATTATTAGTTAACTTAATTTTATTGTAGTTTTAAATATGTTTATTAAATTGATTTTTTTAATAAAAGAATTTCTATTTGTACACGAGGTGTGCATACACGGGCATATAGAAAGCTAGCCAATATCTCAACTTTTTGGCTTCTACAAAAAAATTCCTTGTGAGTAGAGGTTGGACCCGCTGAGAAAATCTCTACCTGGGTATTATTAAATTACCCGGGTTATCCGGGTAAATTATTATATATCATATAGCACAATTTCTACCCGGGTCCAGCCCCTACTTGTGAGATTTTTTTAATATATACTATATCTTGCGGCATCCATTTATTTGCGCGGGTAATACAAATCTCTAAAAAGAAAATAGCCAATAATATATTATCTTAATTAATAATAAAAAAAGTTATATTGATAAATCAAAAATTTTATTATTTTTATATAGTAAACTTTTTTTTTTACTAAAACAATCTGTTATTGTTTTCTAAGTAAACTTGTTTAATATAAAATTTTATATTTATAATTTATTAAAATTCTTTTTTTTTGATCTTTTAATAGATAAAAAATTAAATTAAAATTAAATAAATTTTTTTTAAAAAATTTTTTATATAAGAATTAATTTAAAATTAACCGGTGGTGAAATTCACCGGCCTAAGAATTTTAGGGTTAGGGTTAGTATATTAAGAATTATTTTTTTTATATAAAATAATATAAAGCTAATATAAGGTTCTAATCTCAATTTTTGTGAAGTTTTCGGGGTTCTGAACATTTTTACTTAGAGCACCCGATCCCGTTTACTTAGTACGTTTTTGAGATACAGCACCCCCGGCGAATTTCACCTCCGGTGAGCGTTAAAATCGTCCGTACTAAACAAGTTTATTTAAAAAACAAAACCAGGTTGTTTTAGTATAAAAATTTTTAAATCAACAAATAAACTATTTATTTTCAAAAGTTTATAAATTAATTCTTTTTTTAAAATAATAAAATCAAATCAAAAATAAAACTATAAAGTTTATTTTTTTTAATTATATTAAAGAAATTTTTAATGTAGTTTTATACAGTTTTGCAAAAAAATTCAAATAAAAATTTATACAAAACTTCAAATCTGGTAGTTACAAATATAAAAATTAAATATAATTTTTGTATAAAACTTTAAATTCTAAAAAATTTTGCAAGTTTTTTGTAAAAAATATTACAAAATATGCAAAAATACAAAATTTTGCAAATTTATATTTATTATTTTAATATTTAAGATAAAACATTGCTCTTATTTTTATAAATTTAATAAAAACTTTTTATATAGGCCATGCAAAGTTAATTAATTAGCTCTTATAACTTGGCTGGGTTAAATTTAAATTTTTGCAAAAAATTTTTTATATGTTTTAATAACTGGATAAGTTTTTAAAAAAATTTAAAAAAAATTATAAAATTGTTATGTATATATAAAATTAAAAAAAAAGCTAGCTAGCCAGGTCTATTTAAAAGTTTTATATTACAAGAACCAATAAATTAAATTTAAATAGCCTAATTGAAAAAAATTTTATATTTTAAAAATCTAGTACTAAAAATAAAAACTCGATATATAATTAAGTAAAACTAAAAACTTATTTATAATTTAAATTTACTAAAATAATTAAAGCTTATTTAAATTTAAAATTAATTAAAAATATAAGAAGAGTATATACAATATTTAATTTAGTTAAAGTATTATAATATTATTTTTAAAAGAAATATTTATAAAGTATTAAAAGTATTTAATTTTTTTTTTCAGTATTAAGGTAATTTCTTTGGCTATGAGAAATCTTTATTAGTAATTATTTTGCTATTATAGTTACAACAAAGATACAACTAGCTATATATACACCTTTTAAATACCTATTTAAATAGTCTACCTGCAAGTTTTATACTAGATATTATATTTATAACCTAACTAGGAAGTTATCCTTTTAAATCTTCTAATTCTAACTATTTTCAAGCATATCATACCAATTTAGAAACTACTATCTGGCTATTTTGCTAAATTGTATACCCTGCTTTAAAACTTTTATAACTTATCCTGAGTTTGTATTGACTAATTACTAGCTTGTATTTCTCTATTAAGTAGATATATAGCTATCTTTAAAATAAATTTACTAGAGCTTTTCCTATTCTATTTGGGCCAACCTGGTTTTGCACAGTTGCTAAGGCTCCTATTTACAATTGGGTTTTTATCTATTTAACTACTTTTGCCTTTATAAGGTTTACTTTTCAATCCCAGTATCCACATTCAAATATTTATTTTTTTGTTATTTTTTTATTAGTTTATTACTTCTAACCAACAACCTAGAATATTTAACTTTGGCTTGGCCTTAGATGCTTAGTATCTTTGTCTTATTTTGGTATATAATTTTCTAGTATATGTCTTTTTTCTCTAATTTGATTGGCTAGTTCTTCAAACATGCTTGGCATTTTTTCATCTGACTGGTTTCCTGCCTGACTTCTATAACTTCTAGTCTTAATAGATAGAGCTTTTACTACTGGTTTTCTGTACTAGCTAGCTAGAATTAATATACTCTGTAATAACCTTGCAGCTTTTTAACTTTTCTAAATTAGTGATTAGATTGGTAAATTCTCTTACCAAAGGATTTTATTGTTGTTCAGTTCTCCAATCTTAGTCCTAACCTCTAAATTCAGATTTTTCTGTAATACTATCAAAGATTGTAGTTATTTCCTTACTTAAGTCTTTCTAAACAGGGTTCAATCATCCCAGTTTTTTGATATTTATATACCAAAGCTCTTATATTGAATAGTATAAACAAGATTACAAATTTCAGATCTAACTAATTAATAGATAATTGTTACTGTATAGGTTTATTTTTTGAATATTATTTATAAAATTCGAACTTTAGACCTGCTGCTTGGTGAAGTGACAACTAAACCACTTTATTAAGCTACTACACCTCTATTAAAAGTATTTAATATAAAAAATAAAAGTTTAAATAAAGATAGTTGACTGGGAGGACTGAAGCCCATTTGGGAAGACCCGA